ACACCCACCTCTATCATTTAAATACATATACTAAAAATATATACTTTGGTGGTTAAATGTAAATTTATATCAATTTTTTAGTATATTTAAACAGCTAATGTCTTGAAAAAGATCTTTTTTCTGAAAAAAAATGTTCAGTTTCATACGGGTAAGGTGGTGGTTTGGTGCCCCCTCTGTCCATCCGATACGCCCAATGGTAAGAGTTTAACAAAAATATGTAGGCCACTCTTACACCTATCTTTTGACACCAAGATATTTGTATTATGATAAGAATTGACAAAGTTATGACAATTTAAGTGAAGAAAAACATAATTTTAACCACATTTTCTTCAACAATTTCATATATCGAATAATCGTTACTTAAACCGTCATAACTTTTAAACCAATTGATCGGTTTTGATAATTTTTTCACCTTTAAAATAGTAATCAACTAAAGTTCACTAAATGGAAATGTGTAAGAAAGTTATCAGTTTTTTTCAATTATTTTTTTATTTTTTATATTGGTGAAAGAACCAATGAGTTCTAATAATAATTTAATTTGCCTTTGTTATAATCACTTAATTTAAGTTTAACATTAAATTTTAGCTACCAAAATGTTGTCAGAAACAGCACCCTTCAAGACCATTTTGGATTTTCTAAATATAAATGATAGCATTATTTCTGTCAAATATCCTGACTTTATGTTAATTGATAGCCACTTTTTAAAAATATGCAAAAAAAAAAAAGATAAATATAACTTAACTTGGCAAAATCTTTCATTATTTTTTACAACCTACTGTAAATATAATATCTATAGAATGATGCTAATTAAGTACTTGAAAAAGTTCAAAGATTATGTTGCAAAATTAAATCGAGAAAAATATTTTGACTTTACAAAAGATTTTTTAAACTCTGTTTTATCTTTTAATGCTTTTTCTGATGTCGTTTGTTTGTCACCTAATGGTTATAATACCCCCACTCCAATCCATAATAGTGAAACTGTTCCAAATCAAGTGACTGTTTCTGTATCTTCCAATCTAAACTTGCAAATTGCTAATGATGATTTTTTGTGCTCTAGTACCCCAACTTCTATTGGATACATCCTTTTAGGTAATGGTTCTGAAAATTTTATTCTTGAAACACAAGTTAACGAAAAGAATCTCCCAATTTGGATAAAAAAACTACCTATATGATCTGGTGATTTGATCTATCAAATAAAAAAATACAAACAGAGAATTAATCATCTCAAATTTCAGTATAATCAAATTAATTGAAGATGGAATGAACATAAAAGAAAATATCAAGCTATCTTGTCAAAATATAATGTCAGAAATGTCAACAAAAGAGAAATTAGAAAGGATTGTAAAATTAACCAGTTGTTGCAAATAAATTTAAAATTGGAAAAAAAAAATTATTTAGCATTTCCAATCAGATTGACAAAAAGCATGGTATTTCAAGAAAAATTTGAACACTGTTTTGAAAACAACTGATAAAACGAAAGATTTAATCTTACAGGAAAGTTTAAATTACTTCGAAAATCTGATAGAAGAGCTAAAGGAAAGAGTTGACGATTTTGAAAACAATGTAATTGATGTTTTTGATAGAGGTAGATATAATGAACAAATTGGCTCTGTATATTATGACTTCATAAGTAAAAATGTTTCTGTCAATAATGTTGAATCTGTAATCAGAACTGTATTACAAAAAATGGCTGGAATTTCATGTGGCACACTTCCAAAAAAATCTTTAGCTGCTAAATTTTTTAGTGAAATGAACATTCTATCAAAAGCTCATGTTAAAGAGGCTATGTTAAATATTTCACACAATGTACTTCATACAGATGGCACAAAATACAATTTTAAGGAGGTTGGTAGTTTTCAAGTTACAATATCATCTGGTAGCTACACATTAGGGATAGAAGATATGTTTTGGGGTAAGGCACATTTTTATTTTGGTGAGCTAAAAAATTTACTCAATGTTTGGCTCAGTTATTTTCTCCTAAAAATCACAGCTACAAGGATGATCTTAAAAACCTTATTTTTTCCTTCAAATTTTTGATAACAGATCACACTGTTGTTAATTTAAGTTTTTTTCACTAATTTAAACATTGGAGAGAAACAGTTATGTCTTTTGTTGTTAAAAACTATGATCAGCTTACTTTAAATGAAAAAATAAAAGTTTCTAAAATACATCATGTTTTTTGTGGTTTACATGTTGTCCACAATATAGGGGTATATGCTGAAAAAGCAATCAGGGAATGGGAAAAAGTGGTTGAGGAGGAAGGCGGTGGTTTTAAAAATTCTCAAAACTCACGTACCTTTTAACATTTTAATTGAACTTTCAAAACTTACAAGCTATAAACATGGTGATCAACGGAATGGGAAAGCTGATGAATGGAAGGCATTTTTGCGTAAAAGGTTTTTAAAAAATTATATTGTTTCATTCTTGCATCATTTTTCAGGATGATCATTAATGTTGGTTAGAAACGGTAAAAGGCTGAGAATAGAAGTTCACTTTGTTAGTTAAGTATTGACACTAGCATGAATTTGCAGCTTTAGTGCCACAGGTTCTGTGTGTTTTGCGATTGTGATGTTATTGTTGTGATGTTTTGTGTTAATAGACAACTTGGCTTACCTTCTCGCTGCTGTCTATTCTTAAAAATGATTATTAGGTTGTTTTGTTACTTAAACTCTCTACCTCTAATAATTTACTAAAAGCCAAGAGATAAGTTTTAGAATAACAACATTTTTTGTTTTAATGTTGTTTTCACTTTTTTATCTTAGATGTTGTCAATAGTTCACATAAACATCATCTCAAAGAGTAAGTTTATTATTTTTTATTTATTTAGTTTTAATTGTTAATTTATAAATTTTATTTATTTTTAAAACCAATTAACAAATATTTTTTAAAAATTGTGTACCTGTGTGTTTTAATAATAATTTTATTACAATTTTAGGTTGTGTATCTGCTGTTACACCTGCTATTGCTGTTGTAAGTACTCAAAATTTTGGGAAATTCTATTGCTATAAGTTATTTTCATTCAAATTTAAATTTTAACTTTATTAAAGAATCTTTTGTCAGTTAAATATGTTCTAAATGATTTAAATATATTTCAATGCCCAAACTAATTTACTAATCGGTTTGTAAATTAAGCAATAGTTTTAAACAAATGAATTGGATTCCACAACCCTTTATGCATATTTGCATGGAGTTTTATAGTATAACCCAAATTTTTTCTAAAAAACTAAGTAAATAAGTAAAAACTGTAAAATTAACAATTCTGGATAATTTCGACAGATGCAAAAAAAAATTATGGCATTAATTTTCTTATAGTTTTGTATCCCTATCAAAAATTTCAAGTCAAATGTAATAACAGTTGGAAATTATCAAATATATTTAAAGTCAAATAGGTTTTTGCAACAGGTTTGTGCAACATAGATTTGTCTAATAGATTGGTGCAACCCTTTTGAAGTAGTTTACTGACCGGTCTGTAAATTATGCAATAATTTTAAATTGATGTATTTTTCAGATTCCATGATTCTTTTATGCATATTTGCATATTGTAACCTTAATTTTTGTTGTTCATTACATAATTAAAATAAGTAAAAACACTTCAGTCTGATATTGATATTGTTAGTCATTCTTGCAATTGATTCATCTTTCATGAGGCTTTTAGGGAATTTTCACGAACTGCAATGAGGCGTTTTAAAGTGATTTTTACAATCTTCATGACAACTAGAAGTTCCAAGCCATCCGTTTGTAAATAATTTGAAACAGGTATGCATACATTGTGCACAAACCATTTTTTTAGGAATCATAACACTAACGTGGTCGCTGCAATTAGCGATCACGTTTACGTTTTTACCTTGAAAGACAAATTTGCATCTAAGTTATAGTAACCAAATACGATTGGTACTTTATTGTTTAAAGAACATAGCCCTCAACACAAAATTAAAATCAAAGGTTTTAATTTTAAATATGTTATACATAAGAAACTTTTAATGGAAAAAATTTCTTATGTATAACGTAAGAAAAACTTCTATTGTTTTTCACTTTTTAAAGAAAAACTACTTTTGTTTTTCACTATATATTTTTTATAATTACAAAAAAATGATATATAATGTTTATTAAAAAGTGATAATATTTTAAATAAAATCTCCAACCCCATTAAAAATTTGTGAACCTCTCAGGTTGGGAATCATTTGCTTTTTAAAAGCCAGTGCTTATTGTTATAATTATATTATGTTCTGATGTCGTTATAAAATAATTGTCATAAAGAGGGGGGTTCAAAAATAATTTTGTACCAGCACATTTTTATCCTCTCCAGGGCCTGGGTTTATATAAAATGTATATGCACAACTAGATAAAAAAACACAAAATTTTTTTTTGTAATAAATTAATTTGTTAGTATCTTACTTAAGATAATTTACTCTACCACTAATAAATAATATGCTTTACGATGTCTTTGTATATTTTATTAAACATTTTATACTTTAGTCGTAGAAATAACTACCATATTTATTGTATTGTCTTTGCAAAATTAATGTATATAAACAATAAGTCATTGTTAATTTATATTTTTGTGTGTTTTGCTTGGCATCTTGATTGATAGAGAGGCCCAGGACCTTCAAGCATAGCAAGGGCCCGGAGGAATCTCCAACCTTCTTGGCCAGTTCGAATCCAATTGTATAATAGTTGATGATGATTTTTGATGTATGATAATGGTTGATGGCTTCTATATTTGTTGTCTGATGATGGTTTCTAATGTCTGTATATCTTTTTTAAGTAAATTTAAAAAAAACAACCTAAGAACTAGTCAAAATATATTTTGATGAACTTATTTTTGAGCCTTTTGAAACTTTTCATTCAATTTTTTAAATAGTATTATTTTTAAATTGCATTTGAATCACTATTTGAAAAGTTTATTAACTAAAAACAAAAATTGTTAACATGAAAATGGATGAGCCGAAATAAATTTACAAATAAACAAAATATTTTTTAAGAAAAGAAAAAACGCTGCGTTTTTGAATTCTTTTTTTAAAATTATTATACTTTTTATTTGAAATTGTTAAAAATGCTAAAAATTTATTTTCTAATCGTGTATTATAATCCAATTGTGAAATATAATTGACGTCTAATCGTCGTGCTGTGGGGTTCGCATTCGAGATCGTGCACGTGATCCAGGAGTTGAAGGCTAAATTATAATATTATGGGCTAAATTGTATGCTAAATTATAGTTTATATAATTCATTATATAATTTTTTTATTTCTCAATATTTATAAGTATTTTATGCATTTTACCCCTCGTGTTCCAGGTGTTGATGCTGCTGATGAGTTTCGTTGTCGTGCTTTTTGAAGAGCTTGTTCTGCTGCTTCACATCTCTCTAAAGCATCCTCCAACTCAGCTGAAGCTTTTTTAAACTTTGATTGCCATTGAGAGACTTGTTGTTCCTATTAGTTTAGTGTAAAAATTCAATATAAACTTAGTGAATATATATATATATATATATATATATATATATATATATATATATATATATATATATATATATATATATATATAGATGTCAATCTAAAGCATAAAGTCATTTTAAAGCATAACCGAGATAGGAAGGCGTCTAATATTTATAATCTAATGTATTTAAAATAATTATTTAATTTTCAAAATTTCATTTTTTATTTTAAATTGCATCTTGAAATTTAGTTAAATATATATATATATATATATTTATTAAATAAAATTATATTTTTAATCATTATGCAACATCTTTTTTGTCTTTTTCAAAATGATCTTTAATGCATTTAAATGTTAATATTTTTCCTTATTAAATCATAAAATATGATTATAGTTCTTAATTTAAAAAAAGTTACTTGAATTTTTCATTAAGGAATTTACCCTATATAGATTTGTAAATGAATTTTGATCAACATTAATAAAAAAAACATTTTTATAGATTTGTGAAAAAGTTTATAAAAATTATTAAGAAAAATGGCTGTTTTCTAATAAGCCTTTTAAAAAAAGTTACAGACTATATTTATTACATAAACTACTGATTACTATACTTACAGATTCATCGAATTGAACTTTTAATTTTTTGAACTTCTGTTCTGATTTGTTTGCATTATCAACAGCAATATCCACAGCTTTCTTTTCATCATCTATTTGAAACAGCAATTCTTTGACTTTTTTCTCATTCTTTCTAGCATTTTTCACTACTTCAGCTGAACGCCGCACTTCAGTGTCTAATTCACTTTCAAGCTCTGATATCTAAATAAATTATGTATACTATTAATAAGTATTATGAAACCTTTCTGTTACCAACAACTTTATATAAAAACTTACCCTTGTTTCTAGCTTTTTAATTTGAGTCTTGTACCCTTTTGCTCCTTGTGATTCAGCCTCATCAAGTCTTGCTTGAAGTTCAAGAATAGTTTTACTTAAAATTGCTCTGGCTTTCTCTGATGTTGATGCTGCTTCTTGAGCTTGATTTAATTCGTTACTTAATCGTGCAACTTCTGCTGTTGCTTTTGCAGCTTTTTCTTCAGATGCTTTAACTTCATTATCTAACTCTTCAAGTTCCTCTTGAAGAGCATGGTAATCACTTTCTGCTTTTCTCTTAGCATTACTCATATTGTTATACAGCAACTGCAATTCTGCAATACGATCACTATTATCAGACTTATCATTTTCAGCCAACTTTCTTGCACGAACAGCTTGTTCCAAAGCAGTTTTAGCTTCATCTAGTTGGACAGCTAACTCATTAGCTCTTCTTTCAGCACGGTTAGCAGTATCTCTAAGATTGTCACGATTATTGGACTCGTCATCAATCATCGTTTGCAACTCCTATAGAATAAATTCAAAAATTTATATTAAATATATTCAAAAAAAGTTATGACAAATACCAAAAAATTTCTTATAAAATATACGAAAAAAAAAATAATTACAAATTATGTAAATTATGTATTTCAAATTATAAATTAAGAAAAATTATACATATTATGTAATAAAATATCAAAATATATATTTTTGAAACTTACTTTTATTTGAGCTGCCATTTTCTTTATTTGCTTTTGATATTCACTAGATTGTCTATTGGCTGTCTCAACTTGGCTCTCCAACTCATTCATTTCTGCATCATACTGTTTTCTTTGCTTAGCTTGCTCATTGCGATTTCTTTGTTCATTATCGATAGTATTTTGCAAACTTTCAATTTGTCTTTGGTGATTTTTTCGCATGTTTTCAAGTTCCTCGTCACGCTCTGCAAATTTCTTTTCAGTAGCTTGTTTTAGCTGAGTTAGTTCAAGTTGGGCCTTAAGTAATTTTCCTTCTTCTTGTTCAAGAGCAAGTTCTGCTTCTTCAAGTGCAACCTGAATGAAATATAATTGGAGTAAATAATTTTTAAATATTTGCCAAGCTTTATTTAATATCTTTACTTATTTGTTAAAAATATTTACAAATTAGTAAAACACATAAAAATTTTAATTTAATGTATACATCTAAAAGATATACATTAAATTGTACTTTTATATTATTTTTACTTTTATAACATATTACTTTTATAACATTTAAAAGGTATATAATGTATATACCTTTTAAATGTGGTAAAAATATGGAATAAAACTTGCCTGAAGTTCTTCATTTTCTAAACCTAGTTTTCGACGTAATTTGTCAATCTCTAAGCTATTTTTTCCACCTTCATTAACTTGTTCAGAAATAGCTTGGATATCAGCTTTATATAAAATAAATAAAATGAATTTAATAAAAAATAATAGTAAATGAAAGGAGATAAAATGTAAATATTGTAATCTAGTAAATATTTTTGAATAAAAAAAGAAAAAATAGAGATTTATAATACCAGTTAAAATACGATTTTCTTTTTTCAAGGCCTCAATCTTTTCATTTGCTTCTTCATTTGCAGCTTTTGCCTTGAGTAGATCTGTAGAATATGATCTTGCATCACGCTGAGCTTTATCAAACTCAGCCTGTATTTCTTCACATTTTTGCTTCCATTCATTAATTTGTTGATCAACTTTCTTTTGTTTTTTTTCTAAGTTTGAAGCCTGGGCTTGAGCCTAAAAAACAAATTTTAGAATTTAGTTTTTTTAATAAAACTAATTTTTACTTTTTAAATAAGAAAATTAAAAAAAGATGCCTTTTCAAGATCCAAAAGTAAATCTTCAACTTCTTCATTCATTCTATTTTTAACTTTCTCCATTCCAGCAGCTTTTGATTCAGCAGCTACTAATGCTTCTTCAACTTCTTGTACTCTTTTAGCAAGTTTTTTCTTTGCTTCTTCTAGCTCCTCAACTCGATTGGCCCCATCTTGTTCATATTTTGCTTTCCACTGTTGGGCCTCAGCAGCAGCACGTAAATACTTGTTTTGTAGATCTTGTTTTGCCGCTGCTTCTTCTTCAAGTTGCTCTTGAAGAGATTCAATTTCTGCTAAAGCATTTTGTAGCTTGTTGTAATTCTCAAGTTTAGCCTATAAAAATCATTTATAGTTTTCATTATGTAAATAACAGATTCAAATATTTTTTGGTATAGTAATATTAGAATTAAAAATGTAAACCACTTCCAACAAAATCAATAAAGCACTTATTCTAGGATGTTTTGAACATCATAATTTGATGATGAAATTAAGACACAAATAGAAAGTAAATGATAAACATAAATAAAATTACCTAAAATTAAAATGGAAGAACATTTAAATTTTTAAAATTTTTTTGTATTGTTAACAATAAAAAACTTGTGAAATACAGCTTTTGGAATTCGGAAAAATAAGGTTTGATTTGCCTTTATACATTTATTTTGATTTTGAATTTAAATAAAACGTTAGTTTTTCTGTTTGTTTTTTAATACTATTATATTTAGAATTTAATTAAAAATGTTTATTTTATTTTTTTAAAATTTATTTAGAATTTAAGTAAATTTTTTATTTTGTTCTTTCGTTTTTTTAAATTAATTTGTTCAGAATTCAAGTTTGTTTTTCCCTTTTTAACATACAAAAACTGGTTTTTAACTTAAGATTATAATGACAGCAGTCAAGAACGCAGCCATGGACATCTTAATTTTGGGGGCCGAAAATGGGTTTGAAAAATGTTTCAATTTGCTAGGGTAAGTTTAGTAAAATATTGTTAAAAAATTTTCACAATGATAGTGAATTCACAAGAACATAGTTCTATATGCACAGTCATCAATGTACTATAATTTGCTTGGAATTTAATTCTGTACAAAGAAATTCCAGAATGAATATATATAAAAGCTGTAATTAAACACTCAACTAAAGAATTGTAAATAAAAGAGCAAATAGCAAACAGTTCTAAACTATTTAAACTGTATAAAAGTTTTTCATTCAAAATAATTTTGCAAATCAATTTTGAGGGATTTTTTTAAAATAATATAAAGTGTAAAATTTAAATAAAGTGTTTTTTTTTATTATTATTTTAATAATCTTATTAAGAATCGAAATAAAATGTTCAATTAGCCCTTTTTTATTATTATTTTATTTAAAATTCAAATTAAACAAAATTTTTTTCTTTTACTTTTTATAATTATATTTAGTATTTAAATAAAGCGTTTGTTTAGTCTTTTTTATTATAATCATTTTATTAAATAAAACATTTGTTTTGCTGCTTTTAATTAATTAGAAAATCAAATAAAATTAAGTTTTAAAAATCTGAGTTCGGCAAAAAATTTCCAACCTCAGAAAATGTCAAGTCAGCTGTTAGGTCGGCATTTCATTCCAGTTTTGGCCGAATGCCAACCCTAATTCAAAGGGCTGGAAATGTCAAGATTTATACAATAAGTTTGCAAAACCATAAGTTAATTAGGAACAAAAAGCAAAAAAATATTTATATTAATGTTAGGCAAAAAAATGAAATAAAAAATCATTTTCTATGAATAATGGTAAGGTTTTAACACCAAAGAAATAATTTCTTCGGTGTTAAAACCTTTAATTTTAACTAATAATCTAAAATAATATGCAGTAAAATACTCTGCAATCATATGGAAATACTGCACACAACCTGTTTTTCTTTGCAGCAGCCATTTAACAAGGTTTGTGTTTCTGTGTCTAGGGTTAAGAAAGGTACTATTAAAAGTGAAAAAACCTCCTCAAGGCTCAAACCTATCTCACCTCCTCAAGGCTCCAAGAACAGGATTCTTGGAGCCTTGAGGAGGTGAGATAAGTTGAGATGAATTTATTATTATAACAAAAAAATTCATAAAAAAATATCATGATTGAACTTTATAAAATTATATTTAAATATGTAAAAATAAATTTAATAAATTTTTATTACTTCTATATATTTTTACTAACAATCAAGTAATACGTTTAATTATAACTTTATCATAAAAACAATAGGTTTTCCACCAGTCCCCTCAAACAAAAAAAAAGGTTTTCCAAAGTCCCCTTTTAAAAATATTGTAAAAAAAAAAATTATGTATGAGAGAGTTTAATTTATTGAACAGCTGCTCAAATTACCTTTTTAGAATAGAAAAAATCAAACTGTTTAAAATAAATCTTTGACTTTTAAATTACATATTATCATATATTAAAAATTTTCTAAACATAAATTATATAAGCATAAATTTTAAAATAAGTAAACAATAGAATTAATAAAGTTAATAGAATTTCAAATAATGTAAACCATAGAATTAATAAAGTTTCAAAAGAAATAGAAAACATAAAATTAATAAAGTTTCAAAAGAAATAGAAACCATAGAATTAATAAAGTTTCAGAAGAAATAGAAACCAAAGACTTAATAAAGTTTCAAAAGAAATAGAAACCATAGACTTAATAAAATTATACCTTTGATTCAGCTTCATTAAAATTTTTACTTTCTGCAAGTTGACTTTCTAAAGTTTTTATATTTTTAGTAGCTATTCCCAAATTATGTTCTGATTCGCTCAATTGACTGTTAAGAGCCAACAACTCACTGTTAACTTTAGAATTCTTTGACTCACTTTGAGAATGTAATTCATCAACTTGAGCCAACTTGCTGTTTAGTTCATTGATTTGTTCTTCAAGCATACGGGAGTTCTTGTCACTATTAGTTTTTTGCTTCTTAATTTGATCAAGCGAGTTTTTAGTTTCATTTAATTCATTATTAAGTGCACTTTTTTCTTTCTCAAGTCTACATAATATAAATATGATAGGATCAATAAAAATTGTAATTTAAGAAACTTTTTTTAAAAAAAATATAATTACTTTGCTTTTGCTTTTTTCATTGCTTCATTTTCCTCTTGAATTTCTGCTATGGTAGCATTTGTTTTTGCTTTAATAGCTGAGATGGCAGCATCATTTGCTATGTTAAGGGCTTCAATCTCTTTTCTAAGGCGATTACATTCAGCTTCACGTTTTTTACCAACTTCAACCTTAAAAACATAATTTGATAATTAAAATATTTCTCACACAAACATAACTTAATAATCAAATAAACTTAATAACTCTTCTTGTAACTACAAAAAAATTACAAAGCAAAATCAAATGTAAATGAATGAATAAAAAGTACAAAGTAAGATGAAATGTAAATGAATGAATAAAAGATACAAAAGATAACTATGAAATGCAAGAAAAAATTAAAAAATGCAAATTATGTTACTTTAATAATATTAAATTCTATAAACAAACTTGAGCTGATGTAGCACCGCCTGCTGTTTCAAGTTGGTCTTGCAATTCCTCAATTCTTGACTCTAACTCTTTTCTTTGTAGCTCTGATTTCTGCCTCAACTTTCTTTCGTTTTCAAGCTCTTCTTCTAATTCTTCAATTTTAGCAAGAAGTTCTTGTATTTTTCTTTGGAGTTGGCTAATCTGTGATTCAAGACCTTCTTTTGCATTTTCTAAATCGGATATTGACTTTTCTCGCCTGAAAATAAAGTTATAATAAACAAATGAGGTGAAAAAATCACCTTTGTAACAAACGAAACATTTACTATATAAAACATTCATAAGACTCAAAAGGTTCAAAGTTGTTGAAAAAAGGTTTATAGTTTCAAAGGTTTAGAGATTTATAGTTTTAATGGTTAAAAAGATTTATAGTTGAATATTCTTAAATTCAAAATTCTATACAAAAAATGTTTAGAATTTTAATTTCAGCGTATTTGATTTATAAGTTTAATTTTAGTTATTTTAGTTCGATGTTTATTCTGTTAAATTTTTTTCAGTATACTAAAATATAGTTAATAGAAAATTTATTCTGAAACAAATAATACTTATTTGTGTCAACAAATCTTTGGATTAAATAAAAATTTTGATTAAAAATCAATTGTATTAAAAAAATTCGTCATAATACATTCAAGAAAGTTAAAAATAAAAAAAAGAAGAACTTTATCACTTACTTAGTTACAAGATCCTGAGTTTCTTTTAGACGAGTTTCTGTTTCTGAAAGTTTATCTCGATTGTCTTTAAGATCTGACTCAACTTTCTTTTTTTCTTTTTCTAACTTCATTTTACTGTCTTTTTCTTTCTTTAAATCTTGTTCAATCTGGAAACAAACCAATCATTATTTGTTTTAATTTTTTTTTTCTTTTTTATATGAAATATAAAAAAGAAAAAAAAATTGACTCAATATCAATAATATTCATTAATAAACCTATAAATTAAAACAAATAATAATATCGAGATTAATTTGTACATTTTACATTTGTAGTTATGTTTTCCTTTTGTAATTCTAATTATACTTTTATTCCTACATTTTATTTTTAACCCTACATTTTATTTTTTGGTCCTATATTTTATTATATTGTTTCTATGACTTCTTTTTTTTTTGTCATTGCTCAGTTGCCATAACTATTTTATTTAACATAACATAGTAGCTTTGTCATTTAAATTATTTTATTCATATTTAATTAATGCAGTTTTGATTTTTGTCTTTAGTTATTACAGTTAAAAACTTGATATAAAAATTAATTTTATGTAACAATTAACCTCTCTAATAGAAGATTCTAATTTATTCTTTGTTTTATTGAGGTTGTTGCATTTATCTTCAGCAGCCTGTAGTTGTTCAGTGCGATCTTTCAACTCCTCATCTACATGCTTCTTTTCTGCATTCATTTTAGAGATAGTTTCATCTTGCTTGCGAATATCTTCATTCAAGGTATCAATTTGTTTATCACGATTTTGTTTTTCAGTTTCAAGCTAAATACATGTTTTTTTATTAGATAATGTAAAAATACAGAATAATAAACAAAAAAAAATGCAAACAAAACACACACACAAATACAAATCCATAAACGATCACATCTACAATAAACAATTACAGATATACAATTGATTACAGACAATATTTTACAACTATGTAAGAAAAGGTCATACTCGACTAATGTTTGATTGGAGTTCCTCAGTCTTTTCAGTAAGTTCGTCAATTTTTTCTTCTGCTTCTTGAATCTTTTCTTCAAGAACTAAAACACTATGTTCTTCTCCATCCAGCTTTTCTAATGCTTCATTTAGACTACTTTCAAGTTTATCCTATATAACAACAATTAATGTTAAATTTTTTTTTTTTAAATTTTATCATAACAAAAGTACCTTAACCTCTTATTACCTTAACTGTTTGCAGATTGAGAAGCTTGTCTTCAATTGTAATTAATCTGTCAGTCTCAGCTTGTAAACTTGCATAAAGTTTTTCTTTTTGAGCCATAGCCTCAGTCAGTTCTTCTTCCATTTTTTTCTTAGCTTCTGCATCTTTTTTTAATTGTTCTTTAGCAGCTTCTAACTCTTCTTCTTTTGCTCTCATTTCATCCTCTGCTCGTGCAACACTTAATAAAGGTTGAACCTAAACAAATTCATCTATCCATATAAATATTTTAAAAATTACTTATAACATACTTACTACTTACAGATTTTATCACTATTTTTATCAGAGGGTATTTTAATACCATAATCACGAGATAAATATTTTTTGATTGTTATTTTTTTCAGCTTTTACTCGAACCTTTTAACTTGCACTTTGCTGCTCTTTTTATATGATATTTCTACTTTGTTTTTTTTATTATCTTTAATTAAAGTTTATATTTTGTATTTAAATATTTAAATATTTTTGTGTTAGTATGTTAGTTTAAAT